AGGGGTAGAGACAGGGGGTAGACAGGAGCCAGGCACTGTAAGCTGACCTCCTTAATGTACCCTATAGCTTGCCACTGAAAGTACTTGACTAAGTATTGATCCTCATCTACATGTAAACCTCTGGCATTTAACTGAAACTCTTAAATTAAAATCTGGATGCTTTCAAATAATACGATTTAAGAAGGTGTCAATGCTTCACCCATAAACACAGATAAATTCCAGAAATCAATGGCATTTACCTTATAAAGTGTAAACTGAGTGGATCTCATTCAGAGGTCATTAAACAATAATGAAGATACATTTCATTAGACTCAGGACACAATAATACCCAGTTGCTTGGTCTTGAGCTTTGGACATTTCAGTTTAATCAAAAATCAAAATGTGTGTGAACAGTCTGGACCAACGGACTAAAAGACAAGATGTCAATCCGGATCACACTGAACCATGGTTTAGGTTGTTTGCAGTGTGAAATAGTTTTTGGATAGTTCTGACTATTAATTCAGTTGGAGAAAGTTGAGACAGCATTAGATATTAGAAGAGAGAGGCGGCTCAAACATTATATCTGACTATATAATGTTGGAATGACAAGGACATTGTTGCATTTAAGCTTGTTTCGTGTAATGTGCCTGAAGTTGGTGATGTTACAGTGAAAACCAAAATGAAACAAGCCTGCTCTTTCATTTTCTCCAATCAAACAGAAAGAATGTTTCCCGACGAACTGATAACACGGCAAGGTCCGATGTACACCCGTCTAAACCAAGTTTATGTAGAAGCAGACCACATAGGTGATGGAGACAGGACATCCCTACTTTATGTTAAACACAAGTCTTGCTCCCTAAATTGCCATTTGAAACCAAAACTACCAAATCTGATGTATTTCCCACTTTCATCACTCAGCAACTGTAAAATGACAGATCTGGACAGGCAAGACATATTTATTGTTGCCTTGTTTTGCTGGCCCTGGCATTATGTAACAAAGACCTACACTAGCAAGAACTAAATATTGGTTTACTTCAAGAGCTTGTTATTAAAATTAACTGGATTAAAGATGACGTCATGTATTGCATCCCTATGTTCATTGACATACTGATAATTTATTCCATTAAATGTAAATGCAACACATAATTCACTGCTCACAAAAAGATGAGTGCCGCAACTGTGATGCATGTCCTGAATAATTCATGCAGGTTATAATTACAATTAAAACCAATACCTCACCACAAGACAAAAGCTGTGACAAAGGCCAACAAAAAGTTTTAACAATCACACCGGACTACTAAGCCTTCAGCTATTTAATGCTGCCATGCTAATACAGGCCTATTACTTTAGTTCACTTTAGTTCGTTTTTGCTCATTGTATTTTCTGAACAAATGACTCTTCCAGTTCTGTGTTACAACAACAAACATCCAGAGACATAATTATCAACTTTTATCTGCACCCCCCCCCCCCCCATAACCTTCAGCTTGATGACGCTCAAGTAGCTTTACTCATTTCCTATTGCTTATGTCACAGCCTGTTAAAAAAAAGAGAAAACATGAGTCTCTGGGCTGCTAGTCCCACTGCAGTAGCTCCAGTTCACTTTGTCCTCAGACGACCAACAGAGGAACCGGCTGACAGTCACGTCTCATACAGGAAGCACAACTATTGCTAGTGGCTGACTGCTGTTCCACTACACAAACACAATAAGAATCACTCAGTTTTTAATAAGATTCTTGGAACTAGTTAACATTGCCTCACCAAAACAGATTTGCAGTGGGGCCAACATGTATCATTTAGTCATCTTACATTGGAACAAGTCTGTGAACATTTTGTTTCTTGATCTCCAAAGAATCAGAGTAGTGACTTTACAGTAAGTCTGTTGAAAAATAGAGTTTAAAAGTTCATGTTGCATATTTTTTGAAAGCTTGAGTTTACAATTTATCAAAGCTGCTGCGCTACAGCACACTGGCCTGGAACAGCCTCGATGAACGCAAGTGGTCAAGGGGAATGACCATAATTGTCCAAGCAAAACTGGGGTCATACACATTACCAGCTTTGTCTGATCACGTCTGTGACCACGCCATAACCTTTTCTTCTGAAGGCTTGTGTGATTCTGTAGCTCTCTTTCTCTTCCTTTATTGAGTTCCCAGCTCACCCCAATTGTTGGGTGCCAGCCAGTGTTTGAATTATTAGGAAGCCTCAGCTCCTCTAAAAGTTACCAGAGCCACAATGAAAATATAAGTTCAAGTTTTGGGTGGTGGTGTGCCTGTGCTAATAATAAGCCCTTAATTTCATTGATCAATTACATTCCAACCACTAAACTAGATTGTCAACTTAGTAGCTTATCCAAGTTGGTCTGAACTTGGAAAAAAACAGAATATCACACATAACTTGAATCTCTCTGGTGAAGAAGTTTGGCATTTAGTTTAGAAGAGGGAAGATTTTTCATATTTAGCATGACCAAATGAGAAAACAGACGTAGCTCAAAGTTTATAAAGATCTCCTACAGATACTTTAGTTTTTTATGCAAGTATAACAACATCTTTTGTCAATCTACTTTAGTACAGATGTGCTCCGTGTCACTGTGTTGCTCAATATATTTGCACTGCTCACCTCTCATTTAACCCTTGTTTCAATTTTAACCTTTAACTTTGCACGGCTCTGAGTGCGGCTGACTAAGGACATTTCTGGGTGTGTGCTCCCATAATGTAATGCATGAGCACATGCAATTAATTTAGACATGTGGCACACCTCCACATGCTAACTGTGTCAGATGGGTGGTATGATGTATACTCATCATCTGTCAGTGTGTGCAGCTACTGTGACTGGGTCACAACTAAAGCTGTTAACTGTTGTGATCATGTTGTGTTGATGCCTGCTTGGCCCTAATGTGTGTCTGTTAAAAAAATATATAGCCTGTATTGTTATTATATCAGTACCATTTCTGTCTCAGTGGATATAATAAACAAACAAAAAAAGAACCATAAGATTTGATAACAGATCTCCCAAAGTTTTAACCACAGTAACACCCCCACCCCCTCGCCACACAAGGCCAAAATGTGATTTGAACAGTTGAGGTGCAGGATTCTCAAAATGCTTCTTATCAATTTAATGCTCTAAACACTCACAGTAAAACTCACCTCTATTCCATGCATGCATTAAATTACTCAACATCTAAGATCGTATCTAATAGTGAATAAGGGCTTTAACTTGAATAAGAGGGGAAATGTAGCAGAATATGTATTCAGAGTGCAATACGACTAGAGCAGGTAGCGAGTCTGCATCTCTTTAAGACCCACGTTCTTAAAGGTGCATCTTGATTCTATTGCATGATCTCGCATCCTTGGTCATACGTGTATGAGCCAACAAGCAACATTTCCTGTTTGTAATGCAGCGATCATACGTTAGCATATGTTGAAAATTAGATTTCATAAGGATGTGCGTTTAATGCGACTTTGTGGAAAGGAAACAATGGCGCTGTGGGTGGGGCAGCAATCTACCCCTCAAGGGGAGTCCAAGTGCCAATATCAACTCTGTACAGGCCAAGATGCTTGAGAGGTTTGCGTGTATAGTCCTGCCTCCTTATGAAAAAGTTCCTGCTCAGAATTATAATGACTCTAAATGATAACACATTGACAGAAATCCATCTGTCGCTATATGATTTTTCACACTTGTCTCAGTTTGGTGTTGAAGCTATCCTGAATCATAAACAATGCTAGCTGGATGTAGCAGCACGAATCTCTCAGGTTGTATGATCTGTGTTTTAGCAAAATAAGTAAATCAATAATAATCACCTTTTTCTTTTTATAATCGTGCAACAATTCAGAATGATGCCATACGTGCCATCGTCCAAACGTCAGAACACTCTAAATCTCTAAACTACAAAGGCCCTTTGTAAATGACATTCGGTTATTTGCCAACTAACTGTAGCTAGAATGACAACAGCTTAAAGAGTTGAAGGGTCGCCCTTTATTGACAATTTCGTCCGTGTGACGTAGCTCCACAGTTACCTGTCACGCTTTTATTGTTCTGGTTTATTGGTTGCAGTTGAGCACAGCCACTGAAGCTGGGGATAAGGCCCTTTCCTCCTGCATGGCTTGCCAGGTTTTCCCTGTCAAATATTTATAGAAGCTGAAATGTTAGATGGCCATCATCAGACCTACAAGCTCTCTGCACAAGAAGCCAAGCAACCACCAGCAGGAGCAGCAAGAGAACAGAGAGCAGGTTTTGGATTTGAGGTAGTTAATTAGTTGGATCTCCAGATAAATAAGTTTGCAGCAGTTGTGAAGCTGTGAGGTGAACATGAGCCCTCAGGGGCAGGGAGGGGGCTGGGAGACATGGCCATGTTTCAGATGAATAATACTGGGTACTTTACCGAATTATTCACCACGTTGTCATCAGGCTGGGCTTGAATTAAAGACCGGACTACAGACATGTACCTTTAATGAGGTAGTGGGGGTGGCTCAGATCTTTAGTTACCTCTATGTGAGGCTACTTTAGCTAGCAAGGTCTGCCTGGTTCTTTGACAGCTTTAAACTTTCTGGAAACATCTGTCCCCACAACACAAGTTGTTCCATGTTTCCTTTAGAAATAATCACAGACATTCACGTAAGTCAAGTAACGAGTTCAAACTGTTGGAACAACTCAAACAAACGCAGTAACACAGTGAAATAAGAAGTGGAGCGCAGGATCCGGTGCTTATTAAATGACCGAGTCGGTGCGGAGCGAGCGAGTCTGGGTGTAGCTACGCGAAACAGCCACCTAACATCCAACAAGTCACCCGGCCAGAGGAGAGCTGCTGGCGGATAAAGTAGACGGTCAACCACGCCATAGCTCCCCCAGCCTGCTGCGGGTGGGTACGGCGGAATGACGGTAGCCGCAGCGGGCAGGGAGGCAGCCCGAGAGCCGTGGGGGGGTGGGGGGACTGACTGACCTCGCTCTGCCTGTCACCGAGTCCTCCGCCCGGACAGACCTCTACACGCAGAACCGGGGCGCCGCGGTGCCGGGGACAGCCCGCTTACCTTGCCGCTCTGGTAGCCCTCGAAGGCCCTCAGCGCGCTGTCAGTGAGTTTAACGTGGAAGACGGAGACATTGCTGCCGTTGCTCACTCTTCCACAGGACAGTCCGTAGCACTGCTCCTCCTTCAGCGCCGCCATCTTGCTACCGTTCCCACCACGCGCACGGACGCGCTCTGTTGTAAACCGAGAAGTCCCGTCGCTCCTCACTGAATATTCATGACGGAGCAGCCCAGCGCCAATGATGTGGCCCCGTACACACACACGTTAGACACACTTTTATCATCAATACTTAGAAAACATCCTCTCAGTATCTCACTCATTCACATGTCTTTATTCCAGCGCTGTAACTCATCGACTTTTTATGATCTCACAACACATTTCAGACAACACGTGAGTCCATTGGTTTCTGATGTCTTCGTATCTCTATTGGAATCATGTGAATGTGTGTTTTAGTTATTAACGCAGGTCAGATCATACGTGTCTCAAGTCATTTGGGAAAAAAAAACGTTGCTCATCAGAAATGCGGAGGAAGGAGGAAACGTCAGGTCATCACATTACGTCAGTGATACGTCAATGTCTGGAAAAAAACACAGTTCGGGAATATCCATAAAACTCGGGAATGTCCGAGTGTAAACAAACACAAGTGGGTAACTGTAAACACTGATTAACCGAGACATGTCAAGGACTTGTTTTATCATAATGTCCTCATAACCAAATGATTGTTTGAACACATTTACTGAACACATGAATATGCAGGGTTATAAAAGAGGATGTGTGTGTGACTCATACAGACATTACCACTCCTTGTGGGGCAATACAAATATATCAGTAATTATCACAATGTAATTTTCATCATTAGCAGAATAACAAAAGTCAAATATACATCTGCACAAATTGCAAAACAAGTGGACTAATTGCACAATTACAGCTTTTATCTCTATATTGCACATTTAGAAAAACAGCCTTGTATATAGTATTTCTATCTTCATTGAGTATTCCGGTTTTTATCTTATTTATATTAGGTTCTGTTTCTGTTTCTATTTTAATTGTATTCCTGTCAATTTTTGACATTCCCCAGAAGAGGATCAATTCATTTTTATCTTACCGGTCTTTCGATATAGTGCTTTTGCATTTTGCAAACACAGTGAAGAGGTGTAATGCATAATTGATCGACCACACATTTGTAAAATGTTTTGCTGCTTGTTAGCCTCTCCTAATAAAGAATCAGAAATTATAAAATGACACAAAAAGGAAAACACAGTTTGAGAACAGAAACATCTTTTTATTGAGATAAATATAAAATTAACAAATGCAGGGAATGCAAGGGACTTTATCATCATCACATTGTTTATCGTCAAGTTTTAAGCAACTTTTGGCTCTGTAGAACTGACTGTACATTGAAGAAGCCACAGATTTGGTGGAATCACATTTACTAAATGTATGAAAGCAAATAGCAAAAACAGTGTAATAAATAAACAATCAAAAGATTATAATTTAAACTCACAGAGAAATGCAGAAAAATGTAAGAGGATAAAGAGGGAAATAAACATGGTACTTGAGGGGTCATCTTTCAGCATTTGGTCTTAATCATGAAAAATTCAATCTGGAATTGGATAATAAAAATAAACTATCCTTCAGTATTATTCACAGTCATAATACAGAGAAACTTCACATACCATTATCTGCCTGTTTTAAAGGTAAAAGCTAAACCTCAACATGAAATGACTCATTTAGGAATGTTGAACATTCAGTACAGTATATCTACATTAGCTGACACTTTAAAGTACTTATACATGAGGGACTGAGAGTATAAAAGCATTGGATTATAATCAGATAGATGTTGATGATTCAGTTCCATGGTGCATTTTGAAGCCACTTAACGCTTTAAGTGGTCATCAAGACTAGAAAAGCTCCATATAAATACCGACCATTTACCATGTAACTGCATTGAGGTTTTTCTGAAGACAAGTCTAACACACTTCTCCTCAGCCAAATAACACAACGTTCAAACTCAACACGCTAACAACTAAAGAAATGGTGTCAACAATGAACGAAAGCCTCAAGTAAGGTAGTGCATTTTTGTAGGACAGTTGTAAGTTTGTCTTGATTTCTCTGGTCACTGTATGAATGGAGTCATATAAGAGTAACAAACAAGCAAAGTATCTTCCAGTGTGTGAACCTCAAACAGACAATCTGCAATACACCAAGTTGACATAAAACTTTGTACCACAATTAAAACAACGTGAAATGTGTTCCCCCTTGAATGTTAAGCGTTATCTGATACTGTAAAACTATAACATAACTTTACTGGGAAAAATATTTTATAAATATCTTCTATCTGGGATCTACGATAAACTATATTTCAATTTCCAACATCAACTACCAAAGACAACAACAATGGCAACAACTGAAAAAAACCCAATGTCTGGCAATGTGACTGATATGCATGAACATCCATACGATTGGAAATAACATTTCCCATATGCAAACATTGATGTTTAATTATTTATATATAGCGTTAAACTTCTCAAACATAGCAGAGAGTGACAGTGAAGAGGTGACTGACCCGACAGACATTTCCACCCCCTTTGAGCAAAGGTAAGAAGGCACTGCCAGATGTGCTTCTGTGTATGGGTTCTCACATTGCAGGGGTCAGACGATCACTACAGGCGTGGTTCAATTTCTAGCAGCTATGACCACGGATAGCGCTACACCCCCGATGGCTACCGCAGTGGCACCAAATAGCCACTTCCAGCTGAGACCCTAGGGAAATAAAGGAACGAAAGAATATAGAGTACATGTTAAGTACTTAGAACAATGATATATTGAATCAAGCTACAGTGAAAAGTGCAAGTAAGTGCTGGCTGTCAGTCGGATGTTCAGACATTAAAACATTTCCAGCCAACTACTTTCTTATTGTTTTAGTTGTGTCACTGCCACTTTTTTATTACCTTTAACCGAATGAGGGATTTCAGTCATCAGACATACAGATCTTATGATTTCATAGAAACAAGCAGAGAACAGCCCCTCCTGACATTTGAGTGAAAGTTGATTTTTAAACTTTAACTGCTTTTCTGTGTTTTTTCAGAATTTAATCACAGGGTCGGTTTGTTTTGGAGAGGATAAGTCGGCTACTGGTAAAAATCTTCTGAATGATGAACACTAAAGGAATCCTAGATGAGCTAATGTTAGCAGCAGGATCACAACGTCCGGAGTACGCCCAAGTGAAACACTGACTTAACGAGAAACTGCGTTATTCAGTGATTTTACAATGAACACAGAAAGAATTCTAACATAATAAAACTGCAATGACTTATTTAACAATAGAGAACACCCTCAAAAGAACACACACAAACAAGGCTACCATTTTGCACAAGTGGAAAACCCTGAAGTTATTCATCTAACTTGAAATATTCATTACTGATGGCCTCTTTATTAGCACACAAAGCTTCATTTAAATATATACATATCACTGCAACAGAACATACGTGACAGTGGATGAGTATCATGTGACGATGGCCACAGATTCAAATGCAGAAAATGTTTTCACTTTAAAATGTGTTTTCTCAAGGAATAACTGAATGTCTCACCCATGAAGACTTGGCCCGGTGTTTCTGTGTGCCGCTGTTGCTACTAGTGGGGTTACCCAGCATCTTCTTATACATGGCCTGCTCTGCTCCTCTCTGCTCTGAGTTCTTCTTCACCAGCTTGGAGAGCTCTGCATGAATCGTCTAAACAGGAGAGAGAAATGATGGGAAATACTTCCAATACACAAATACACACTCCACCCGAACAACCCAAACATCCCAACATGAAGAAAATAACATCCTGCTACTGTACAACAACCAAAGACTACATCACAAGGCTTTTCAAAAGGAATAGGACCTTGACGGATGGATCAATAGCTTCTGAAAAAAATGTTTATGTTGTCCTTTTTTGTCGTCTTGCAGGAAATCACAGGTTTGCATGACAAACTCAGCCTGCCATGTAGCCCAAGTCTTCACACATTATTCCATGGGTTCAGTTACTGTTGTAACAAATTTCCTGGATCTGAGTCACCTCACTGCTGTTAAGCTGTTGAGTGACTAGGCAAACAACTCATTTAGAGACAACTAAAATATTTGTGCTTTGGAAATGTGCTTCAGAAAAACTGATGAAGCACCATTACATACAATTTACTATAATGTTGAACCCAAAGTTGTTTCATATTTGAGGGAGGAAGTCGGTGTGAATGTCTGTACAAGTCTGTACCCTGAGGATTCGTCCGTTCCCATCTACTGCTGAGAGTAAGAGATGCATTTACAGCACAGTGTTCGAGCAGGAAACCCTTGGTGAGTTGGCATATTATGCAATCAGCTACCCTACCCACCAAAATTACAAAAAATGACACCACATTAACTTGTGTCCTCAGGGCTGGAATAAAGTCGGCTGAACAAACATTTTGACATCCCATCCTAACATCCTCTGTTCTGAGACAGTCTGAGTCTGTCTATACTGGAACTGTCGACTCTGCACGCCATATCAAACAGTGAAGAAACAACAGATAAAATAAGTCTCCATCGGAGCTGAAGATAGAGGGCGAGCATGTCTGTCAGTGATGGAGGAAGAGAGAGAGATAGTGTCATCTTGTCACTCCAAGACTCCTGTGACAGTTTAAGACCGCCTCTTTGATTATAAAGGGAGAGTTCTTGTATCGTCACTGAAGCACACCCACTGTTCTTGCTGTTAGAACGTGCAGTTCCTCACAGAGTCTTTTCATTATTTCAGCACAAAGAGACAAGCCTGTTTTTTTAACTTAAAAGGTCCAGTGTGTAAGATTTAGGTGAAAGGGATCTATTGGCCGAATTTGAACATAAAATAATCCTAGCAACATTGTCACTAGTGTGTTTCATCTAAAGTGTACAATGGTTTTTTCTTTACCCTAGAATTGCCACATGATATTTAAATACTTTATATTTTCATCGGGAGGGGCTGTTCTCTACAGAGGTCGCCTTTTTTTTTTTTTACAGTTGTCCAGACTGGACAAACTAAATACCTTTTGAGTTTTCATAAAAATTGAAGGCTACTACAGGTTTTTTATGTTTGGAAGGGAAGGGTAAGGTGAGGGCTATTCAGCTGTAACATGTAAATTCACCACTAAATTCTACACAGTGAACCTTTAAAACAACAACCTTAGATCCAAATTAGTAATGTGTTGGGAAAGATGTAAACATAGGCCCTGTTGAGACCTGGTGGTAACATCTGCCACCAGGTGGTATCAGCTCTTAGTACATTTAGCTGCCAACCTTCTGGTTGGAGTACGAACGCTCTACCCCACAGCCTGAGTATGTCATTTCTGTTTGGAAAGACCAAATTATGTTATTGACAGACAGGCCTGTTGTCAGTACATTTGTGTGTGTGTGAATTTTATTACTGTAAAAATATGGAAAATAAAAAATGCTGATGTCAGTGTTGATTTTGTGGCGATTGTTGCAAATAAATCAATGAATGTTCAACACTGAGAGTGTATAAATATATTCACATCATTACGCAATTGTAGCTGGTCAGAGGACGTCAGATAAGTAGATGGTCTTTGCAATCACATTAGAAAAAGAACTTGGTCACATTCTGTAAACAAAGACTTGTATAGGTATGCAAAAGATTCCCAACTACACACGGGCCAACAATTCAGCTATCGAACAAAGATGCAGTATTAAAAATCTTAATAATGCAGTATGTATTTGTACTGCGTGTGCTGGATGAAATGTGGTGGGCAAGCCATGTGCGGTTTGACAGATTGGTGTGGGACTGAAGTGGAGGATTCTGGGCATGAACGCCATGCTGCTGCAGCTTACAGCTAATCTAAGAAGCCCACGCACTCAGCTGAGTTTGTCAAATTCTGCCAAAGAACTGCATATACCCAACTCTATAAGCAGGAGAACAGGCACAGAGACTCAGCATTAGATATGGCTGAGCTGCAGGGCAAACCTATTTACAGCAACAACATGAAAACAGATCCTCTGAAATGATGAATCAGCACTCCACCTGACCTTGCAATACAAAGAGTGGTGAGATATTTGACCTCATGGCACCATCTACTGGTCGTAACAATAAACTGCAGCTTCTAGACAAAAAGACCTGTTTTACCAAAACTTGATGTGAAGAGGTAGAAAAGTACCTTGTTGCTTGGTTCCAACTTCAGCGCCTTCCTCAAAGTTTGAATGGCTTCTGTGTATTCACCTTGCAAGGCCAATACCTTGAGGGAAAACACACATGTAAAAGTCAATAAAACCATCTACCAGAGACCAACAGAAGGGAGAGTAACAGAAGAGGAACGTGTACCTTGCCCATGCGGAAAAGTGCTTTTATGTTCTCCGGCTGATGGGCCAGAGCTGAGACACAAGATTTAAGTGCTGCGTCATAGTGGTCCAGTTTAAGCTGAGAGGCCGCCATGTTGTTTAAACACTTAACTTTCACATCCATCAACTCGTCCTCCTCCTCAGGAGTAATGTCAACTGCAACAGAAGCACCCGGGTCAAAATAAGATAAAGACAGGTTTTTAAAAAGGGCCACAGACAAACAGAAGCTTGTGAGTATAAAGCTTATCAGTGCAAAATTAAAATGATTAATAATGTGTTAAATCATTGGGATGTTCTCTGCCTATCATTTCCCACTGGTGAGGTACTAAAGCAATAATCCCAATGCAAAGTATTTAAAAAGACATACACTGTAATTAACATATCAGTGACTCATGATTCCTTGACCTGCTCACCTTTGGAACTAGACTCTGTTATCTGCAGGGCAATGCTGTACGAGTTGACAGCAAAGGCGTAGTCCCCGCGCTGATAATGAACGTTGCCCCTCTCTCTCTTATGGCTGGCAAGGGCAATCTTTTCTGTAGGGGGCAGCAGCTCCAGGTCAGGAGCATCCGTAGCCTCCAGCAGTTCCACTTCTAGGCACAGCTCAGCATTGGGAGGGACCTTGGGTTCGAGACTGGCAAGCGAAATAAACACAGTCAATTTCAGAGGGAGATTACATCGACTGGATAACTCACAAGGAAGTCAAGAACAGAGCCTGTAAGTAAAGTTATGTTACTTAAAGGTACATTTCCATATATTATTAGTTAAAAGCAAAGTAGATTTGGAAAATACAGTTTTTGTGTGAACGTTTTGTGCATATTAAACCCTTAAAGCCAAGATTACATTAAAACACAGTGCTAACCTCCCCCGGGTGCCATATGCATATTTTGCATCTGTATGGATGAGCGCCTTCTCTCCCATTTCCATGAGCTGCACCGTGAGATCCAGAGCCTGAAAGAAAAAAATCTCACTGCAGTAAGAAACCAATATGTACTTTATGCATAACCTAGATGAAAAGGTAAAACCACTCTTACATACTCTACTATACTATTTGCAAAAAAAGTAAGTGTTTACCTGGAAGACATCACCGTCTCCCAAAGTGAAAGCTACGTCAGACTGCTCCTCTACCAGTGTCCCATCCTTCAGGGAGGTCTTCAGATTAATCTTGACATTCTGTCCTTTCTGTGGCCGACTGTCTCTTCCTTCCCCTGCCTCCAGGACTTTTTTCTTCAGCTGGTCATTACCTAGGAAGAGATATTGATCCGTTAAGTTTCCCAGGTCCTCTGGTATGAGATATTCTAAGAGACAAGAACCTATGGTGAGGCAGCTTTTAAGCATTCATACTTTAAGCCTCTGGAAGACATTCTACCTGAGGACAGGAGAAAAACTGGAAGTGTTGAAATATTTAAATGCAAATTTAAAATCCTATCTCTA